CAATAAATCATGATAAATAATGTTAGGGCTCGCGTCCTGCTCATTAGTTATTATTGTTTGAAATTAATAAATAATTAAAGGTAATCAGAATAAAAAACTTGTTAACGGCTGAGATATTGGAATGATTAAAAATTCTCATACATCTAAGGTTGACAACACCTCACCGTGATTTTTGCTCGAATCTCATCTTTAGACAAAAGAGGGTTGCCATTGGAATCTTTGAGCGAAATGAGAACATCAAGGAGGTCTTCAGGCTGTGTCTTCTTCCCTTCTCTCCATTCTTGAATTCTATCGGTTATTATTGGGTCGTGATACTTATCGACGACTTTCACGGCGTCGCATACCTTCTTCCGATGGCCGTCTAAATCTAGACTTTGCAACCATGGAAAGTAGTCTGATACAGAGAAGGCATAAATATGTAGAAGCATCGTAAAGAATGAGGAAACATGCTCTTCTTCTTCAAAGCCAGGTCCTCCATCCTCTCTTCCTTTGCCAAAGTACCTTCTGCCAAACATCATTCTTCTCATGGCATTGGCTGGATAATGCTGCGCAGCAGTCCTAACATTGACAACGTCACCTAGCCACAAATTATACAATAATTTATTATTATTTTTCTAGGAGTCTGCAGTGATGGATATTGTTTTTATTTCAAGGTAAAGTGCAAATATAAATATCAAAATTAATCTTTAAAAAATGATGTATTCATTACAAATAATTAACATCCCAATAAGTAAATTTATATAAGTAGATTTGTGTATTATGTTGACTCTGTTTAGACATATTAGATGACTCCGAAATCAATAGGACAAATAATGCAAGAAATGATCTTCCTTGCCCTTGACAAATGCTCACGTGGACGTCACATGGATAGAATGGTAAGAAAAGAAAAAAAAGACTTGGACACAAATAAGAATGATCACATGTATGCATGGCAATATGGTAATTATGTTAATATAATAACTTTTCACCTTTCAAATTCTTAGAGCATTGATTATAAAGGTAGCGAACAAGATTATCAGATTCTTGGTTTCTCATGTCAAGTAGCCAGCGCATTGTGGACAGGCTCAGGACCTGAGAGGCCAAGATTCTTCTCATTTTCTTCCACTGCTCTCCCCCTGGACACAAGGCCGTTGTGAGGTATCCTTTACTGACAATGCAAGTCGCCATTGTATCGGGTCTCAATGCAAACACCGCGTCATGTTTCTTTAAAAATTCCCTGGCAATTTCCGGTGAAGTCACCCCAATCACGTGGGAATTTCCAACAAGACGGAAACAAGCAATATCAGTGTTGAGCTCTTTCATGAGACGATGAATCCACCGGTATGCCGGTCGATTTCTCAACATGTGCGGGACACACCCGAGAATTGGCCACATTGGAGATGGCCCCGGGGGAAGAGGAGCTCGTACCGCTGATGATCTCTTGGTCTTTTGAAAAAGATATTTCATGATCAACATAAACTGGAAGAAAAAGATGACCAAAAGGGGTAATTTGGCTAGCAAAATGGATGAGTGTGACAAGGAAACATGTGACAGTTGGTCGTAAATAGTTATATTCCTTGTTAGTACTGTTTTGTTGAAGGGCCCTTCCATCGATCTCACCTTTTTTTTTTTTTCAAAATGTCTAAGTACGTACGTACGTTAATATATATATATATATATAGGTTTCTAATTAATATATATATATATATATATGTATTCTCTAAGAGAACAGACTAGACTACTAGTGGCTTCACAAAATACAGAAAAAGGTCTAGTATGACAAGTAGTGTGTGTGGGATTCGAGAGGAGGAATTTTGGAGTGAATAAATATGCATGCAAGAAACGAAACTAACTAAAAGGCAGAGATTAAATTAGATGATCATTTTGTGTTGGAAAGGATTTCACTTATTATTTTTCCTTTGGTTGTAACTTCTATTTCTCTCGATCGATATAATAAAATGCGTTACAATTTAAGCCTTTATATAGAGAGAGAGGAGCTCCGCAGGGTCTTCATTGCAATACTAGTCGACACGACAGGTGAAGTGTACGTACTGTATGAGACAATCTTTACTATTACATATACCCAATAAGAATTTACCACGTGGTTCACTTGAGAAAAATGTCAACATGTGGCCTCTTTCGTTTCGATGATTCGAGTTTAGAATTCGAATTGAGATGTGATTTTATGTGAAAGCTTTTTACTATAGTAAAAAAATTAGATGTGACTGCTTGTAAGAGCTTTTTACTGTAGCAAAACTTGAATTCTAAACTCGAATCAGCGAAATAAACGAGACTATTAATGTATACAGAAGTGTTCGCGTGCTACTCATTTTCCGTTTAAAAATTTCAATGAACGTTTATTCCATATTTAACTGTTTTTTCAACATGTCTGCACAAGTATACGTATAAGAATTGGAATAGGCAGATAGGCTGGTCCCCACTGTTTTTTCAACTTTTTTATTTTTCGGTAATTCACTCATTTTTGAACTTTAGTTATCGGTTCGTGCATAAGACAGTCACAAGACACTGGACGGATTAAGAAACGTCGACTGCAGTGACGTGAATGGCTCAGCTAACGCCGCACAGGAGAACGAGGCCCGTCGGAGTTGAGTCCGCAGGGTTGAGTTCTGATGACGGCGACTCGAGGAGGGGGCGGAGCTGCCGGTGGCGAGGGTGAAGCGCAGTGGATCTCCACTGGTAGCTGGTCGGCGTCCAGGGGGAGGTTCTCAAAATGTTAGGATCCTCGTGTTCGGGTTTGAATACTCTCTGCAGGGGAATCTCCACTCACTGCTTCCCCTAATATCCTCCCTTTACCACATCATGGGGGTTTACAGGAGATCCCAGAGGCTCGCTCGGAAAGGCTGCTATACCATACCTTTTGACTCAACTCTACTCTAGTAGTCACTAGACTCACTATAGTTGTCCGTCCGGCTGCTCTTGCTGAAATCATTACTCTTCATTCTCCCGTGCTCTAGCAATTGCGCTCCCTAGACCACTACCATGTAGTTAGGTAGGGACAATCAATCCGTAGTGACGGGAATCTAGGAATGAATGGGGATCCCTATCAATATAAAAATGAAGAAATTAGAGTTTTATCCCTTTCTCTCACTCAATAGATGTTTCTGGTCTGATACGGTACAGTCCAATACGAGACGATGGAATGCAATGGGATGGATGGTAGAGGGCTGCATACATCGAGAATCCAGTAGTGTGCAATTCCCTTCTAATTCGTGACTTTTCAATAAAAGTTGCAATTACCAATTAAGATTAATATTTTAATCAGAATTCATATATATATATATATATATATGTATTTATCCTCTCTAACTCGATTTAGAATATATTATTAATAATATACCATGTCTACAGACATGATATATAACTTATTACCCACCGGTACACACACGGTAATTGCCATATTTACACAAGCATACACAACTATAACGTGCGATTAGATATATATTATACATATATATATATATATATTGTTGTGTGGGAAAATGTGGGTGACAGGTGGAGCGTCGACAGCATGACACGTGGCCTTACCTCCTCTCTAAAGGTGGTCACCATCGACGCCAGGACATTGATCACCCTCGACACCAAGAGTTCGACTACCCTTGACGCAACAAAGAAATGCCCAAATTAGGGCGTCAACCCGTTGTGACGTCGAACTTATGCAAAAACCTTCGAAAAGGTTAGAAAGGGCATAAGACCCGTGCGGCACAGACGCCAAGAGGAAGATACGTGACACCATAAGTTGCGTCTAGGAGTGGGATACGTCTGCAATACGGGCATTAATTACAAACCTTTAAACCGCCCTGCAGTGGGTTGCAAGAGATTACAGGAATTCACAGAGCCGTAATAGAAGACCTAATTGCTGAGTGAACAGTCCAAAAGTGATTAGTGGGCTACGGTCTTAGCCTAGAAAGTAGGCCACTCGAGTACTTCCACCTACGAAGGAAAACCACCCACGAAGGAAGCTTGGGCTATAAAAAGGGCAAAGCCCCATACGCCAAAAGGGGAGAGTTCTCTAAAAAAAGCATGAGAAGAGAGAGCATACGTGCATGTAAATTGTAAAGAGTCCAAAATAAATATACCATACACAAGTGGATGTAGCTTTTCATTTACAGAGTGAACTATTATAAATCTCATGTGTCCTCTTATTCAAGTGTTATATTCATGCTCACAAAACATAACAAACACTTCATACTATAATTTCAAATATACAGCTAATTTCTAACCGATAACCCCACGGGATACCAAAGGGTGATCCGGTATATTTCTGTTGACGAAGTTTCACCGTTAACATATATATTTTCCTGAACTTTGACCGGTGAGAGTAGATGACTTCCCTTGCTGATGTAAAACACATCACATCAGCAAGGGATTGGGATTGCTGTGGGAATTCACTAATGGTTGTGAATGTTTTCAATGATTTACCAATAAAAACCGGTTTATAACAACAACAACTGAGATGCCAGGTGCGGCTCAGAGAAGAGGATCATGACATATGATGCTGTAGCAGCAGCCGTAGCACGGGGAACCAAAAAGAGGCTATTCCTCTCTCGGTACAGCTCATTTTAGAAGGCAGACAGAGGTTGCCCTAGAGAGGGCGACGAGTTTGGGTACCTCTGTGGGCGGATTATAGCGGACCTATCGGCCTACAATAGGATAGAAGATAGAGGTTTTGAACCCTTTGCGGACATAGCTGCAATTGACACTGTAGTTGAAGTTCTCGGTCCTTTGAAGATTGATTTGACCTCGAGTCCCTGACCTTGAGCAACTCTTTATCGTGAGAAAATCTGTTGACTGGCTCACGTAGTACTAGATAGATACTTGACTTCCTTCAGCTTTCAAGACAGGACCCTAGAAAATGACTGACTTTCATGGTTCGCTACTGACTTTCTTCAGTGAGGACTTACCGATCACTCCATTGGAACTTCGACTGATTCTGCCACAGAACAAATCCCGTGCCAAGTGGCTCAATAGACTCTCTCTTTACCTTCCCCATCTGACCCACGCCTCCTTCTGCAAAATCCCCTTTCTAACTAGACTCGTGCAATTTCTAATCAGTGGCTTCCTTCCTTGAGATATCGCCCATCGCCTGAGATGGAGCCTAGCTTTCTGACTGGGCAAGCAGCTCCTACCTCGTTAGACGAATTCGCTCCTAGAGGAGAGCGAAAGTGATCTATTGAGTCAACCGGGGCTCTTTATAGCTCTGCCTTTATTCGGATTCCGCTTGAAACTAGTCCCGTCTTCGCTGCTTTTCTAAGAAGTTCCGTTCCTATAAATGCCCACTCTCTTTCTTCTAGTCGAGCGTCAACAATTAAAAGCTCATCTAGATTATTAATTGTTGAGATCTGAAGCAGCTGCGGCTTTCTCGTTGACGGCTTCGTTGGTTGCTTGCTGAACAGGTCAGGAAGCGAAAGCTCACTGCTGTAGAGATCTGAAGCCCTACTGAATCTTGACTTGAGCATTTCAAAATCCCCGTCTTTTGTTTTGGGCTTGTTTGTCAACCAAGATCCATTTGATCAAAGTGCGTTTACCCTGTCCAATTGGTTGTTTTTGATCGCATTTCCGTGACTGGGACTTTCGTCCTCAGCCTCTCCTGGCGCCTTCCGTTTCTCAATCCCAATCTCCCGCCCAATTCCCCTGCGGGAACTAGCGTAGCGTGCCCATTAGCGAAGGAAAGAAAGGCAATCATCCGAGCCCATTTATATATGTCATTGTTGAGATCGTTGAGATCAGGCCTACGAGAGGTATTCAACAAGCGCCACTCAACTGCGCAAACTAAGCCCTCCATATAAGTTCAAGGAAGTCAAGCTACATACTACTGGAAAGAGATGGGCTTTCTCCTTTCTCTTTCTTGCGGGCTATTGATTTCGGGTTGAGACTTTGCTTGCTTACTTTCTATTGATTGCCCTTTGCTTGCTTACTTTCACACTTCCTTCAGTGAGCTACTTAAGGTAAGGGGCACTCCTAGCATAGATTACCATTCTAACCTGTCCTTGCTGGTATATAGATGCGCTTAATTAGTTACCTGAATTCACTCCTCCCCGGAGAGAGGACTCTTGAATAAGTGGACTTCGACTGCGCTTAGGACAGCTTTGAGAAACGGTCGGGCGAGAAACGGCTATCAACGGCTTGAGGAGGTAAGCCTATCAACGGCGTGAACCCGCATACTAGTTCTGTTCTAAGCCCGCTCCTGACGTGAGCGACTTAGACTGATTAGCTCCTATCGTATTCTATCTATTGGATTTGAACTGAGACCGAGCAGATAGAGAAAATAACTTTCTTGGCTTGCCCGCCCGGCCTTTCCTTATTTGTTGAACTGAGACGGAGCTGAATCTGTCCTTTGAACATGGATGTGACCTCGAGTCAATGCCCTAAAACAAGAAACAGTAATTACAAGATTCCACAGATGCTCTCCTCAGTTTATCCGAGGATGGTCTAGATCGATGAAAAAA